ATACATTTAATAGAGAAACACATTATGTGTATGTCATTAATGAGGACCAGGTTATTTTATATTCAAAGTGAATATAACTTTAAGCAACGACGGTGAACATAATATAGCTTATGTATTTGTATAGGTACATAAGAAATTGCCAGCCAGAGGTTAAAAGAATACAACAAAAATTTACTAAGTATAAGTTATATTATATTTTGAATACTATTTAAAAAAATATACCTTAAGACATAAGGTGATTATTTTTTATTTAACTTTTATGAACTATCTAAATGGCCTTAATTTTTATTTTCATAAGTCTATTGCATTTTGCATTACAGCAGGTCAATTGGTACAGGTAAATTGTAAGGTACAGGTCAATTGGTACAGGTAATTGTAAGGTACGAGCTACCAAGACAAATAAAGCGATACTAGCAGATCACGGTAGCTGACTGGCTAACATTTATAGTCTGAACTATTCCTTCTAGTTCTCCGAGGAATTTGTTTCAAGTTTTAATCAGTATTTTAAATAAACATAATAATTATCGTCGTATTTCACTATGTAGGTACCTACTCAGCATACTGTTACTCATATTGAAATTAATCAGTTATTAAACAAATATTAAAACAGGATTTTAATAGCCCACATAAATTAAAATTATATTTCTTCTTCGGATTACATTGTTGAAAAAGTTGACTTTGCCATTACCCGTACTAATCTTTAAAATTACTTTTATAACTAAATGCCAACCACTATCTGGCATCAGAGTGACAAACGCACATTTATTTCATTACTTATCTTTTACATTTATAACTTTAAATTAACAACACCTATTCCGGTCGTCAGATGAGAAATTAAAACATAATTATAAAATATAAATTAATAACTTAAATAGTAAAAAATATTTTACAATTATTTCTAAAAGCCGACAATAGTCATCTGAATTTTCTTTCAGCGAGGTGTGGTGAGTAGGGGGATATACTTTGTTCATACAACGATGTTACCCCGGAGATGTTCTTATTAAATTTATAAGACTTTAAATAAATATCCCCATACATATAAAACAACGGTACAGTTAATGAGGGCCGTACTTGAGAATGAATTAATTCATTAGCCGTACTCAATATTCTATAGAGTTCGTTATAAAAATCATCTTTATATAATGAAAAAGAAATGTATTTATAATTTAATATAATATTTTATGAAACTAATTGAAAGTATTGAATCTGTTTTGTTAACCTTAAATACACACATCTTGGACGTCGTATTATAATTAATTAAAGTAGCTACCTACATGTTCAAGTAGAGCAAAGGTATTACAGGAACCGGTCCGATTTATTAATCCAATTAATTAGTGGTCTCAGTGATGCACGTTGCAACTATTAAGCGAACGACCTCTTATATAAATTAGGGAAGCCGGTTTAATGCCACACAAGACCTTTGAATATATTACACTTGAGACGTACGAGTAGCTGGACTGTTTAACAAAACACAAGTTGCATCTCCTTATTGTGAGATGTAAGGTGTATGTTAACGTGGGCACAAATAATCTTTCATTCAATTGTTAATAAGTTAAATGTATCATTATCATTTCATATAACCGTAGGAGTCGTCTCCAGTAACAGTTTACAAACTCATACTTTTACTGAACATAAATTATTTGAAGTATATTATCATTGAATACATTCTTTACTCTTATTATCGTTAAGCAATATTCTATTATCATTTAAATCATTACTAGACAAATAAATGTAGTATCATAAATGGTTAGTGAAGTATTTTTTTTTATCATTTATTCCTATTTTTATTATTCTTTAACTTATACATGGTACCTGTGAATGTTTATTTTATATTAATCAAAATTATTATGTAATCTTATATAGTGAAAGGTTATTAAAATTTAAGACGTATTGCAACATACGGATGTCAAGCTAATAGTAAAAGTAGGGTCAGTGACACGACGCCCTCACGTACATACCGTCGACCGAGATGTTTAATGTGATAAAAAGAGCAGCAAAATTATTGTTTATTATAACGTTTCTCTCAATACCGTATGTTAGATATTATATATCTCCCAAGTCCCAAGATCCTCTTTCTATCTTTCATTTCCTTATTCCAATATTCACCAGGTCACTACGTGGAGCAGACGGCTCTGTTAACTTTAGGTATATCGTTAACACTTTTGTTTTTGTTTGAAAAAATATTTAAACATTAAGTATATAGAAACATGGGTGTGTTAAAAATCAAAATTAGTTACACAGAGATAAACATGACTCAAGATATACAATGGTTTAACTAACGTTAATAAAACATTTTAAGAAAAATGTATATTGATTTTTAAGCATTTGTTCTTAAAAATGATAAGTTATTAAGCTCAAAAACAGTTAACAGTTGAATTCCGGCCATAAATATACTGACCTACATATATATACATATGTATATATAAACAGATACAGTAGGAATATCCGAATATCCGTTCTTAATATTATAAAAAAACCGGTTTCGCTAGACGCATGTCGATCGACACAGATATTTTTTTAACAATTCTGTCTGTTGTCCTGATTTGACTCGTCCAAAGTTAAATGATGTAATAAATGGTAAATTTTGCTAATTTTATTTTAGTTAATTTCATTTATTTTCATACAATATTGGAAAATTGACTATAGATAAGATATCAAATTATATACAACTTATTTTCAATCTGCATATAAAACTCCTAAACTCCTAACATTACACTAGTTCATCTTTCTGCCAATAGATGGCGTTACTTGTATTCTAAATCACGCTAACGTTATAACTTTATATAGTGAATAAATAATCCAGAAAATAATTGCTTAGTATCGAGTCTCAGAGACTTCGATAATGGCATAAATACTTCTTCTATTGGGTTGGAACATTGTTTTAAAATCTTGTCGTCTAATATCACTCTTCAAAGTTCGATTTCTGTTGGCTACTTCCACCCCGTTGGGATATGTTCGCTGGTGTCGAGGTTAGAGGCTTAGCCGTCTTGTTGTAAATTAACCTTCACGTCAAAGGCTCTGTATTACAATATTAATTAATAAATACTCCGTCCGCGTGAACATTAGATTTGTGCTCAGCGAGAAATGTATAAAATGTGTTAAAACAATATACATATTATAGTGAACCTACATTGGAAACTTCTCACCTTAAATAATCTATTTATCGACTGCAGCGCCAGGGTTGTTATGTGAATCTATTTAATCTGAGACACTACCCAAATACATATGTACAAACAAAAACTCATTCAAATTGGTTCAGCCACTTACGAGGAGTTCATTAACATGTGTAGTAACACATGTACAGAATCATATCTATAAAAATATTAAAAGGATGATAATATTATCAAAACATATCAGGTAGTAAATATAATGTTTTTGGATCACTACGCGTGATTTTATTGTTTTTAAGTTAAACATCTTACAATATAAAAAAAAACTTATTTCTATTGACTACAAGCGGGAAAAACTTTAAATACAGCCATAAAACACAAGTAGAATTATTATATTTTAAATTATTAATAAGGAAAACATCTTATTAACAAGTTATTTATTACAAGAGTGTTGGGGCACCTGTATGACCATACAATATTAAAATACACCCATTTCAATTCAAACCAGACTCAAGTACCTGGTATAACTGTTTCGGAGTGATTATCTCAAACTTAACGTCATTATCATTATTCGAGATTCGAAACCTGGCAAGTACCAATGTGATATTTCCGAGTCATATGTACTTTCTGAGAGTATTTAGACACCATTGATAGACGTGAAGAAAAACATCGTGAGGAAACCTGGACTTATAAATTGTAATAAGCGGAAATAACATAATATTAAAAAGAATATTATAATATTTGATAAAATTCTTAACAACAGTAAGTAACATTTAAACAAGAATTATAGTAGGACTCGTGAAGCTCGTGAATTTTGTAAAAGAGATGATACTCTTATATTAATGCATATATCAATATATTCATTATATCATGTCTTTTCTAAAAACTTCACTTCACTCTCAATCAGGCTTACAAATGGAAAAAAGAACCTTCGGAATACATAGATCGATGCGTTTGCGAGCTACGATGTAAGAGAGAGAAACAAATACAACACACATGCACGTCAACCTTGTAAATTGGGGTCACCTTATTATTAAAAAGTGAAATCAAACAATTTATCGTCTCTGGCCCGTAGAATATTTTCATCATATAAAAGCATGTGTAAATTATTATGGGTTTGATGACCATTGACAATGAGACACTTCATTTATTAAAACAAATTGACATGACTTCAAGATATATTTTTTAAGTTTCTACAAAATTAGAACAAAAAAATGGGAAAAAAATCAGTTCAATATGATTATAACGAATTAAAGTTTATATGTATAATGAAACATCGTGACATGTTTTATAAAATATAATTCACACTAATGTTAATACTATGAACATAGTTAAGACTTTCTAATATAGCGAACAAAAGTTATAATAACGAATTTATTATCCGTGTGTCTTTTTAATAATATATAACACTTCTATATTTTCTTCACATGTAAAGGAAACTATTAAATGTGACCTGAAGTATATGAATGATTGAGTACAGATTTAAAATAGATCATTTAACATGTAGCTTGTAACGTTCAATGAAAAGAAACAATAGACTGACAGCGACAGTGAGGAGTAGAGCCTGTTGTAAAAAACTTATCAATACTAACAACGTGGGACACGGGCTTCATAGTGCTCATTTTATATTATTTATAATGTACGTGTTTCCAGGAATAATAAATTTGTTAAATATTATTAACAAAGGTTTCGAATTAGTAAATAATTCTTTTCGCTACACACAGTACAATCGTTATGACATACATAACTATCACCGCGTTCCATACAGACACATTCACATATCTATACTGTGATGTGATCTGAACGTGAATGTATTGCACAATAATATTTTTTAATTCACTCGTGTTATAACCAACTAGTAAATGGGCACGTGTGGCGTCATGCCACTACATGGAGTCAGGGTCACTGCCCCCTCCCCCTCCTCCCGTCTCCGGTCCCCTCACCCCCCCCCCCCCTCCCCCTCCTCCCGTCTCCGGTCCCCTCACCCCCCCCCCTCCCCCTTCCCCCGGTACACGTCGTTTCCTCTCGTCCAGTCATCGTCTCTCAGTCGCGCGTCATTGTCTGCGCGCGCGCACCGGGTCGCGTCTCACGTGTTCTGCCTTTATAGAAATCATGCCCAAAGTGCGCTACAAGTACTGTATAGTACCTACATGTAAGAACACTACGTCTAAAACACCTCACAAGGTGTTCTTCACCGTGCCTATCGGTGAGGAGGTACGGAGAGCGTGGTGTCTAGCGGCTGGCCGCGTGCCCGGAGTACACAAAACATTATCTAGTAAATGTTGCCGTTTCATTTGTGAGGATCATTTTGATGTAAGTTCGGTTTGTTTTTTGATCCGCTCTCACCGAGCTCCTTCCATACGTACATTGATGATTCTTCGTCTTTTTCTTTGTTTGTAACAGTTCCAGTTATGACTAATACTTTCAAGGTTTAACTCCTCGTCGTCAATAAACATGGTTTCCTTTTTTTATTCTTCAAAAATTCATAGAAACTCATAAGCTACCTCAATCAATGTTCCCTCCATTCATCTTTCTGTTGATATTAAACAAAAATACTTATACAATACACTATACTTGCTGCATAAAATTTTGTATAACATTAATGTAACTTTCTCTTGTACTCCTTAGTAGTATTTTTTTATATATAATAATTAAACGGGTATATTTTAAATTTCAGCTGGAAAATGATATGGAAAACTATGTTAAGTGGAAATTGTTCGGAGTTGGAAAGTTAATCTTAAAGAGAGGCGTATTACCGCATAAGTTCATCTGTCAAAATGAAGGGAAAGAAGCGGAAAAAAATGTTAGTCCACCGAGATTAAAAAAAGATAACACTGAGTATAGTAAGAAAGACAAAAAACATTTAAAAAATGAACAGAAAAAAGGAAAAAAAAGAAAAGAAAAACAGAGAGAACACGGTCGTGAAGAGACTGATATTGAGATAAAAGAGGAATTTGATGAAAACATATTCGATCACAACCCGAAGATATTAGATAAGGAAGAAGACAAACAAATACATAATGATATATATATAATAAAATATGATGCGGAGACAGGAGGAGAGTACCTGGTGAAGGTGTTTGATACATAGAATGTAGTACGACGAAATGACGGTGTTTTTATTATTTTACATGTACATATATTTAAATTACGATAAATTATGGGTAGAGGGATAATAAATTATTATTTTTTTAATTTAAAAAATATGTATAACATAATTTGCTTAAACTTATAGTAACTTAATAAAGAGGTGAAAACTCTCCTATTTGCTGAAGTGTCAGTAACACGCATCTTTTATGTAGTAATTTTAGTCAACAACACATTCTCGTCTATTTAAGGTTGTCTCTACGTCAGGAATATAATGTTGTTCATTCACTTATTCAAGGAGCGGCGCAGTGAACGGTCTCATGAAACGATTTAAAACAAAAACATAATATTCTATGAAGTAACGAAGATAAATTTCATTGAGAACAATAACATCTGTCCAATATCCGAATCGTTCACAGAGACCTCTCCCTAACAATAAAAAATTGGCTTGTATATGCAAGGGAACAAAGGAGTCTCGCCGCCCCTTGTATCTTTTTATAACATTACCCTTAAACTATTGTCTGCTCTGTTTCTATCCTTCTTATTTTGGTCGATAAAGTTCGTTGCTTTGACTGTTTCTGCGAAGGTCTCATCAAATAGACTACTTTAAATAAATCTTATACATATAGTTTTTATTGGTAGTCAACCTATATATGCACTTAGAGTTGTATTATACTAAAATAGCTTCACACACAGCTTATACTTTAAAGTTGAATATTGTTCACTCGGTTTGAAATATTGTGAACACTTTTTGGGAGATCTGAGTTCATCTGCGGAATCCATGCGGCTTTGATTGACAATATATTCTGTCATAAACTTAAAAGGACAAGCCTGTATTAGAAATAATATGAAAACAAAATATGTATGTCTTTTATGATATGTGATGCAATCAGGTTTGGTTGTGAATAATATACTATTTTTTTCTTTTGTTATCCGATTTATGGTTAAAATATAAATAATATTGAGTAAAAGTTTCAAATAAATCCCATGTACCGCCGCGGTAAGGATTCACTTTAATGCGGGAAGAAAACTTAGATAATATGAATACATGAAATACTGCAATGCACCAGACACAGTGTAGTACATACAGTATGTCATTTGAGTGGAAACGTTCTCCAACACAGATCAAACTTGAATTATTCGGTTGTCCCATAGCTAATAAGTATGCATCTAGCAATAAAAGTACTAATCGAATATTATTTAAGGGAAACATATCATTTAATTGATAATTTTTAATTATATTACTTCTGTTACAACATGTTCGGCGTTATAAACGTCTGTTAATCAGTACATATGTACATACTATGGGAAACATTGTTCATTGATGTTATATGTATATGAAAATGATTAACACCAATGTTTTCTTGACTAGCGTTCTAAAACATTCGATCTGATAATTTTGTACATTATCTTTACAAATATTATTTGAATCGTAGTTAAAAAAGACACTTATTTCGTAAATATTTTCCAAACGAAATTTCTTACTTTATATTGTAATGCTTAGTATAAACTTATAAACGAAAAGAATACGTAACAATCATTAAAAAGTAAGAAATTTATAAAATATTTCATTCTTTCTAATAAATAAAGACAGCGCTTTAAATGAATTCTTAACAAAAACTTGAGAAAGGAGGTTTATATTTTATATAGGACACAAAGAAGACAATAACTCTACATAATATTACCACTGTATATGTACGTATGAACCACAGTATGTGAGTAGTAATAATAATAATTTTCTTGACTGTCCGCCCTCAAGTAAACAACTATAAGAATTATAGTCTATACAAATGTACAATCTTGGCAACCTTATCACTAAATAACTTACAGACAACCAATATAAACGAGTAAAATAAATAGATATTAGGTATTTGATGGATTTTAATATAAAACTTACGAATAACACAAATTAAAGTATTGTGTTACGTACGTGCTACATATTAAAAAATAAAAGAACATCGCCGGGGCGACATTGTTGTATGGATAACATATTATTATATAACGAGTGACTCTTCTGACTCCGCCGAACGAACACCAAGCCGTGTGAACCAGAAGATTCCTTATACCACACAAGCTATGGAATGGTATTGCTATCCTAACACCGAGGCAATCATGTAGTCTCAGGTGTAGATTATAAGTTTTAATACATATGTAGTTCTTATTATAATATACATATAAGTAAGTTTTGTAGTTTTCCTAGAACCTCCGGCTGCCTCCCTATATAATTAGAGGGTATATAATGTCTTCAAAGTGTGTTATAACTGATAATTAAAAATAATATAAGCATAAACATATAAGAAATAAAAACTTAAAGCATTTAATAACGAAATAAATATCGTAACGTGTGAATGTGAGGAGCGATGTCCGTTATCGATTGAAGATCGTCATGAATATTCAATTAGGATCGGTCAGTGGCGAAAAAAATTTGAGCCGCGGAGATCGAGACCTTACACATGCCTGCAACATAACTTTAGAACAAGCAATAAATCATATTATAGTTGGCTCGGCCTTGTCCGCCCATCTACTGGTATAGAGCAATCAGCTATATACATATATGTTATAGTTACAATATATTTTTTAATCGACGAGTGTAAAGCACATATACATATAAATACCAAATCTGTATAATGTTACACTTTCATCTCATCTACTTATATGACTTATAGAATTAAAATAATAAAAAACACCGAGGATTTAAAAAAAACTTGCTTTCATTTATATACCGAATGGATTACAATTAGAAAGGATTCTCGTATAATACATTTATAACGACATCCTTATGTAGTAATTACATATTTTTTTTATGATCAGTCGGACGTGTTGTAACGGAAAATATTGTGTTCGTTTTTATCTAATCCATTTTTATTAAAATTATTCAAGCTTTATTTTTAAACTTAACATGTAAAGTTTGAGATATTTTGTGTAACTTCGTTTTTCCCTAATATCTCAAACATGTCGGCTAGTAAATAAATAGCCAGTATCAAGTTGGGTGAATAATGAAGATATATTGTAGCTTCTCTTTATATAAACCGTAACATTTTAAACCTAACTAACCTGACTTAACCCGTACAGTAAGGTTTTCTAATAATACTAAATCGTACCTTTAAGTTTAAACGGAAGAAAAAGTAAAATCGATTTCAAGACAGTGAGGTTCACCAAAAACTTAATAAATATAATGTGAAAAAATTATTTTAATACTTATATGTAAATAACTAATCCAAAGTAAGTTTCATAGATCTGATTTCAAACTGCAGTATCTATACCGGTGTTGAATATTCATTAGTAAGATTAACCCTCGGCAGTCGGCTGGTGAAGGAGCATTCTCTGTTAATATAAAAGTTCTTCAATAAACTTTATCATCGTTCCATTACAGACATTACACCAACTAACAGATAAACGCCGATAACTAGACAGCGGAGGAGAGCACTCTCAAGTAATATTGAAGTGCTACTTAGCGAAATCACTCGACTACTTAACTATTTAATTTGAATAAGAAAGTACTTCTATTGTATGTTTACTTTATGTAAATGCAGAGAAATATAAAAACAAAAACAAATTAGGAAGTCCGTTCAGAACACGAATAGATAGAGATGACAAGATTAAAATTATTAACTTGAAGAATATTGAATGTTTGTGAGTGATGACAGATTGAGCACGGAACTCATCAGAGGATAGGAGGAGGGAGTTGGAAATGATGGAAGGTTTCAATACTACTCTATCTACAAATACAAGGTAGTAACGACAACACAAATTAAGAAACATATTATATTGAGTCTTAGGTACCATATCATACCTAGTGACATTACGATTTACGAGCGCTCAGCGAGATGCAATACATTATTAAATGAGTTTTAACACAAAATCGCTCCACTAAAGTTCTCTTGAACTTGACCCTTTTAAATAAAACATTCATTACTTATCTGTCCTCAAACAAGCGCCGGTATCTGTGTCGTCACGCTAGCCTTTTTTATATAGGTAGCGCTGAATCCGTAATCTCGAACTCCCTTTGAATTGCCGCCACCTCACCTTTGTTAATAAAAGTATGTATTTAGTGAACTGTAAAAATCGTGGTGGCCTATAGCTTAAAAGTCCGCCTCTCATGCATGAGGGTGCGTATTCAATACCTGGCCGCTACCAATGAGATATTTCCGAATTATATGTACTTTTACGAGTATTTAGACACCACTGACAGACGGTGAAGGTAAACAGCGTCATTAATGCTCAAACCTTCTCCATGTGAGAGGCCTTTGCTCAGTAGTGGGCTCCGATAGGCTAATGATGACGATGAACTGAAACAATACGGCCTCATCATATCTCATTATCCATTACAGTATGCGTCACAGTCAGCTAGCTTCAGCCGTTTTCTTGTGGGGCTTTACAGTTGATGCGATTTAAATAACGTTGAAGATATGAATAACTATAGAAATATTACGATTACACTTGAGACTTGAGTCAAGGGCCGGCCGTCTCTAAATGGTCAGTGACCGCTCTTATCGTAGGGCAGTGTCTTGTAGTTGGTTTTACAGATAAGAATTCGTGTCATATATTCAAAACAACTTGTATATTAAAGTTGAACATATTTTTTGTCACGGTCGATAAAGCACAGTATTCTCTGTCCATTCGTTTATTTTCTTTTTGGCAGTTCACGTCTATGAATAACAGTTTTTAGTTACATAAAAATGATATCGTACTTTATAATCGGGTAACGCCTCCTTACTGAAGTGCCCTGTACCTAACAAATAACGACAGATATTTAAAGAGGTCTTTAAAATTCTAAATCTATACACATGAAATAAGTAGGTAAAGTTATTAATATTATTCATTAGTGTGACTCGTCGCATTCTTTTTCATAATTTACGTGACACTCGTCAGCTGAGTCCTCTGTTACATGAATAATAATAATCAATCTTTTTCAATTATATTGTCAATTGCAACGTCCCGATACCAATTAAAGAATATATATTTTTAAATATTGTAACTTTATACTTTATGTATTTCATATAT